TGTGTGTTGATAGTGAATATCGCAGCTTAACATATGCATAATAGTCTCTAAGAAACACACACAAGTGAGTGGCTGTCTAGGCCATACCAGCTTGAAAGCACCGGTTCTCGTTCGATCACGAAGTTAGCAGCAGCGTCGGGCCCGGTTAGTTAGCTTAGATGGTTGACCGCCTGGGAATGAAGCGGGGTGCTTTGAGGCTCTTACGACAGTTTTTGTTCTCAGCTTTAAGGCAGTACCGCGGACTTGTATTACTCAGTTATTCATTTACTGCTGCGCGGTAATGCATCCGACTCTGGCACCACCAGCGCTCACGTTGGGCCTCTAGTTCTACAGTCCGTGTCCATTGGAGGCCTACTTAAGGGATGCGCGGGCCGCCGCAGGGGCGGGGCGGCGCAACTTGGGTTAGCTCCTCTTGCATCCCGTGGGTGTTTTCCAATTATTTTCTAGTCATTAATAAAATTGTGATAGCAATACATTATAGTAATGGTGGGTGGTATAATAAATGAATGAGTACACATATCCCCGCACTGATAAGCTTTCCTTAAGAAAAAAAACAACCAGGCTTAATGCAAAAAGGTACAATTGGTATTAACGCCATAACTACATGAACTAAATAGGTGGCAATTCCGGGTCTTACTGTACGGGAGCAACGGAGGAAGTACAGCAGCAGGCGTCCGGGCCCGATTTAAGACTTGGATTGGTTCCGCTGGACATACCGTGGCTGTGAGCAGTTCTTCTGACCTTATTTACTAGTAACTGATAGCTACGAATTTATGTTACTCGGATTAATCATTATGCTGCGGTACATAACATCGGTACTGCCTGTAGCGTGACTACTTTCTACCGCCCGCTACTCTCGCCGGACTAGCACAGCTGCTAAGGGGGCGCCACCGGTAAAGCCCTGCACGACGTTTTTGTTTCATCTATTTATCGAGTCATTCAAAATATGTTATGTACTACGCATTTATATGACTGTTGTGTATAATAATATACTTAACTATGCTATAGCTCTAAAAGAACACCACATCAAGTACGTAATGTCTCACGCGCAACCACGGGCTGAAACACGTTTCTCTTGTAGTTCGATTACACCCAGAAGTTAGCAGCAGCGTCGGGGCCCGGTTATACTCTTGGATGGTTGACCGCCCTGGATAAAATTGGAGCCGGGGTGGTAGCTGTAGGTGCTTTCTACTTTATTTTCTTAACTTACTATCGCTATGTTAATACTGCGCCCAGTTTCTATTTGGCATTATAATATGGCGAGTACTCTATTCAGTAACTTCGCAGCCTCCCGGCTGGTCTTCTAACGACTTACCTGCTAACTGATGCATCGTTTCCCAGTAGGTGCCGACAGGGGGGGCCCACTGAGAGAGCCCTTGCTACGCCGTGTTTTCATATTATCTAGTCATTAGCATACGTATGTATACATTAACATATATATGTGAGTATATAATATACAGCTAACATTGATTGAATATCTAAGAATACTACACACATAAATCGAGACATGTTCTACGGCCTTACACGCTGTAACCGCACCGGGTACTTCGTATCCGATACCGAAGTTAAGGCAGGTAGATACTATTGCGTCGGCCTCTTTGAGTTTTATGTCTTGGACATGTGTTCGAGCTGCGCTAACGCCTGGATACCGTGCATGGGGTGTGTCTTAAGTTGTTTTTTTATGGTCTTTCTACTCTTTTTTTTTCTATTTTAGTCTACGCTTTACCTCGGTCATATTATCCTTAATGTAGTGTGTGGGCGTTGGTTTAATCAATCACATCGGCACTCGCTTTACTTTATCGTGCTCTGTTTTCCTAAGCCTCTTTATATCATAATCTCATGGCGCTTAAGACCGGGATTCCGATGCCTGGGCCGTGCTAGGAAGGTGGTCTGGTCCCGTAATTTACTAGTGTAGCCTTTACTTTTAGCAACCAAGGTTCTTCGGTGTTTTTTCTTAATTTCATTTTCTTAGTTTTCATTAACATAATGTGTTTTATGTCTGATTAACATACATATTATCATAGTAGTGTGTCTACTAGATTAAGATAAGATCGGTAAGGATTTTTAATATAACCAAATTATAATCTCAAGATTAAATTAACGATTATCCTTTCTCGCGAACACATGTCAAACTGACAGCAACAAGCTGATTCACGGGCACTAGGTTGTAATCACGACTGGTTACTTGGAGACTAAAGGCCTTGCCCAGAGACATTTATTTTCGTGTAATCTTACATGACACGTCTCGACTCCACCACTTACACGGACAAGGCGTCGTTGGAACACATGCGTGTTTTAAACTGTTACATCTGATTGGTTGAACGGCACTGGGACTACCGGGTTGCTGGTTACTCTTCCTACGTTTTTTTCATAATAAGGCTACTGCTTTTTTACTCGTATCGGTAATCATTATGCTGCGGTAATCATCATCGCACCCGCCTACGTGCTCTTCTACGCTCCCGCTACTGATCGCCGCCCGCGCAGGGGGGCGCCACCGTCGCCAGCCGTGCTCGTCAGGTGCGCGGGCTTCGTCGAGCGGTCGACACCCGCCTGCGGCGACGCGTCGTCACGCAGGATCGAGACGTCGTAGGACGGCGGCGGCTCAAACTGCGGCTTCGAGTCGCGCGACGGCATGCTAGGTGGCGCTGACGGCGTTCGCGCGGCGTCGGGCAGCTGTGGTTGTATCTCGGATAGGCTGATGGCAGCGGCGACGTCTGCTAGCTCCTCGCGAGCTTGCAGCTGCCTCTGCTTCTCCTGCTCCACCAACAACTGCCACTCCCACTCTTCTTCAGCCCTGTTGACGCACGAGAGAAAATGGTCACGCACACACGCAAAGCGATAACACGGAGACACAACGCTTGGTGTGTAGGTTTATTTTAAATAGAACTAACATTGATTACACAATTCTAGTTTTCTTTGGGAATTAGAATGCTCTACATATCTACATTAGCAGGTGTAATAGCATGTGTATCAGCATGTGTAAACAGGGTTTGAATTGCATGCAACTGACTGATTATATTGCTGTAACCAAACAGAAATCCATCTAATCACTGTTGTCAGACAGCAAAATAGCGTGTACGTGTAATGTGGGTACTCATACTGTACGTACATGTACATATGCTAAATATACAGTTGAAATTTACGTGAGCACATTATGCATATATACATGTATGTTTTGTTCCATCTATGTGCTATTTTATAACGTGCCAATTTACCAATGCATCTTTGAACCCTTTACTTCCCTGTTTGAGTTTTGATTCACAATCAATTTATTTCTCCAATTGATATAAACATCGAACATACTCGGTTCTCTCGATTTCGTGAAAACTGGACGATGCTGACACTGCCAGTGATATTATACAGTGCATCGGCATAGCGTGTAGACGGTGTGCACTAAGATGTGGGTAATGTTTCAATGACAACATGATATGAGCCACTATTCCCCAATCTCCCTTACCTTTTATTTTTCTCTAGCTGCCTTCTCTTTTCCTCTTCCATGGCCTTCCTCTCCTCTTGCTGTTTGGTGAGCAGTTCCTGACGCCTCCTCTCCTCTGCCGTCACATGCTTCTGCTCCTCTTCCCATTCCTTTATTTTCATTGTTAGAATGACACAAGCTTTAGATTAGCAAACTATATAGCACCACTGCTAGGCTAGAATGTATGTGAAATATTATGATTTGAATGGCATATACAACAAAACACGTATACAACTAGTATGCATGTCGCACGCATTCTAAAACATGGACATTTACACATATCAACTCCCTGGCTACACAATAGGCTGAAATTATAACACATAAGATATGAATTTTTGTAAGGAAATCAGTATGGTTAACTATCAGGGCCGTACGCAGCAGGGGGGCAGCAGGGGCAGTTGCCCCCCTAGAGATTTTCAGAGTATGCCTTTTAATGGGACAAATACTGTACACTTTTAGAAATAAAATAGAAATGTGACAAAAGGTTATCGTAAATCATCAAAGAAATATTACACTTTTAGCCATATTGAATCTTATCCACACGGCCGCCGTGCGTATAGTCTCGGCCTATAGATATACTATTACTATATTACTAAACTAAGCAAAGTGTGAACAATTACAGCGTGAGAAACTAGCGGTCGCCCAGTCGCGATTAGAAAATCGACCGGGCGACTGCTTGCTTGTGTCAGCTGGTCCGGCGGGGCGACTAGATAATCGCCGCACAGGAAATAAAAAATTTACCAAACTGAGGCCATAATAAAAATGTTGTTTGTTTGCCCTCACCCGGCTGACCCGCCAAAAAGGGGCCGACTCAAACATTTTTATTGACCTTTCCGATTTTTTTTTAAAAGTTTCTGTATGTGGCAGGCCTGCAGCAACTGTACGCGGGCTAGAGTACTAGAGCTATGCACAGCCTGGCTGCGTACGTGCCTGCTGGCTGGGCGGCACTGATTGAAGTAGAGAGGGGGGAGGGGCGAGTGCATTATTGATTGTTTCACTTTCAGCTGCGTCCCAGGGCCATGTTCATTATTACATATGTAGGGGGTGGCCGGGCATTGCTGGTATGAGAGCGCGACAGAAAAAATTTCCTGGAATTGGAAATCGCTATATTATAATTAAGATATTAAATAACTTAATTATGGATCTAACTCAGACAGATTAACTTTATTTTCCTTTCCAAAAACTAATATGTGCTAAAAATTAAGATATTCATTATTTCTTAATTGAAGTTCCTTTTATTTTTAATGCTTTTATTTCCAGATTACGTGTATGTGTGCGTGCGGTGCGTGCGTGTGTGATCTGGAAATAAAATCATGCACAATTTAGCTTTGATGAACACAAGTTGTTAAAAGTATTTTATATGTATATTGTATCACTGTACAATGTACATTATATAAATCTGTAGGCAAACATAAAAGGTATCTCCACACAAGCACACCTGAGCACGTAGACACCATTGCTGAATTTGTAAAAAGACCCCCCTAAAAAAAAGCCAACCTACCTACCCACACTTTTCAGCCTGGGTCGGGTGAGGGCAAACAAAATATTGTTTAATTGTTGCCTGATTATTTTGTTATTCTCTACTAATTCCTTCTACATTATTCTAATGAAATGAATGGTAAATTTAATCAAATATAGACTTCAGGGCCGTACGCAGCAGGGGGGCAGCAGGGGCAGTTGCCCCCCTAGAGATTTTCAGAGTATGCCTTTTAATGGGACAAATACTGTACACTTTTAGAAATAAAATAGAAATGTGACAAAAGGTTATCGTAAATCATCAAAGAAATATTACACTTTAAATAAAGAAATGTGAAATTGCGAAACTTTAGGGCACAGGGGGCATGGGGAGTACCTTTGTCCCCCTACAGAAAATGTTCTGCGTACGGCCTTGTTAACTATCCTTAGTATTGCATCCTCTAACAACGTATGTTTTGTCTAGCATTATTGCTAATAAATATCATGACATATTAGGACATGTCTTCATTACCTCCAACTCCTTATTGTATATCTTTAACAATGACTGTTTAAGCTTCTCTGCTTTTGGAAAGACTTCTTGTAATTTCTTTTTCACTTGCTCCTTCTCTTCAGCTGTCACCTATTGAATGCAAAAACTAAATTAATACCGCATGTAAATTACAATTTGTGAAAGTAACATAAAGATAATCAGATATTACACATGCACACACACATGTGCACATTTATTTATTTATTTATATTTAATATATGTCTGTGAAGTACACTGCATTGTAATCAGTGCAGAGCATGTCACATGACTCCCACAAAATAAATACTAGTATTTCCTACTGAAAATCAAGTTTGCATGCCAAGACTCTTAATATTCTGTTTTCCTTGAATCTAGGTAATAATTATAGATTATACGAACATAGAATACTATATGGATTAGCAAATAATCACCTGATTATAATCTGGATGCTTTGGAAATTTCTCAACAAACAGAGTGACGTATTTGGAATAAAGTACGAATGCACTCGGCAGGTTCCTCTCTTCCATGTATACATCAGCCATGCGGATCATTTCCAGCCCCGATCGACAATACCTATAGAAAAACAAAAACCCAGAATAACACAAATATTAGGCCTATTCATAACGCACTGCACACCAACCAGCGATTAACATAAAACTCGTAATTTATTCTAAAAGTTGCATTTGTCCCATAAAACTACATCTAACTGTCATGAATACTTGATATTGCATGGATGCTCTAGCACTAATTATAATACTATAATCAATTAAGCTCCATGAAACAAAGAATAGAGTTAAATAGAATATCTAGTAACTCTATTTAGTCCATATCAATACTGAGGCTTCTTCAGCTCTATAAAATCAAGAACACAAATTATTACATATAAAATGTGTGGTTACAGTCATTTTGATTTGTGCTGTTTTATGATTATGCCACTGATACAACCTGCCCAGTTATAGGTTCATAAGACCACATACATTATTATATAATTTAATCACCACCTGTTAGTACTCGTTACTGTGTAACAGCTCAACCAGTTATTCACGCATTTGCTAGAAACAAGTTTGAGGAATTCAGATATATAGTTGGTGGCAATCATAGTCTATGTCTTTCTGGAATTTGTTAGGCTTTAACAGCTAACCGGCCACATGAGGTTATCATGTGAAATTCGCACACCTTTTAGGGGGGATGTTATGATCCACTTCGACCAGACCAGCATGTCGACTTAGAGCTCGGACACGTCCCGAAGGATCCCTTACATCAATGTCTGGCAACATTGTTAATATCCTTCACTCTGGTAGCCCTCGCGTTGTCAACTGTAACAAATTTGTAGTAACGCTGAATAGTTTGATAAATTACATCGTGGCTCGAATTTCATTACGGCACCGAGGGACAGGTGCCACAGTTCCCCTCATTACTTGCTGTGGTGACCTGATAACACGCATGGTTCATATCCACGGCAATAAACCACACTGGCAGCCCTACCTAGCTGTCTTTTTTCCCTCTTCATCAATTCCATATTGCATATATGTATCCCTCCCTGTCTGACAGTTTTATTAAAAAGTTAATTGGCCCCGAGAAGCCTCCTTTGAACGATTTGCTTGACTTAGAGCTGCTCCCACTTGCTATGGTTCCCTAATATAGTAATAATTCTGAGTCTGAATAAACTCAAGAAAACGAAGTAAGCGCTTCGCTCTTAATAATAATAATATAGTTATATAGGCCTACTCTTCTTGAAACTTGAGCCTCCAAGGGCCTGTGGCCTAACATAACGTTTGACTCAGACTCATGAGTCATAGTCATGGGTTAGCTCTAGTAACTATAGCCCGCGTACGCGGGCTATAGTACTAGAGCTAAGTCATGAGTTAGCTCCAAGAAACGGTCTTTGCTAGGGTTAGAAGACCCTATTGTGTATATTGACGTTAGTCACACAGCCTGGTCTGGCTAAGTCTAGCCCGACCAGGCTGTGCGACGGATTGTCTATACGGTATTCTAACCCTAGCAATACCGTTTCTTGGAGCTAGGCTAAGTCATGAGAATGCCCAAATAAATTACAATTTACACAATATAGAAATTAGATGCGATTAGAATAATCTGAATAACCTATGCATACCATCTATGTATTATAATGAAAAATTAAATCCATCGCATATAAACCAATATAACATTCGAAAATATACATACATAAACATAAAACCAGCCTCAAAAAACATAGAAGAAGACTCAATGGACTGTGTTGTAAGCACTGATCTCTACTATACTAACTTGTGGGTCCGTCAAATTACCGAAAGGCACCGAAAGGCACCGTTAGGCACCGAAAGGCATACCGAAAGGCACACCAAAAGGCACGAAAGACACCACAAGACACCGTAAGGCACAGGAAGGCACCGGAAGGCACCTAAACAACACCGAAAGGCGCTATGAGAACATCGAATTCCCCTGGAAGAAGCAGTCCGGAGCTGAAATGTCAAAATAAATTCCACCGAAATGCCCTAAAAATGACTGAACTCGGGCCGAAATGAGGTACACAAATAATTAATTGCAGCCAATGGCTACATGCCACAGCGCCATCTCTTGGATGTTTTATAAGTAAATATGAGGATTTTCAATAAAATAATGCGTTTTTAATGTATTTACCACGATTTACGTATAGAAACTATATTATGTTATTTTTACTGATTTCTCCGTATCTTTCCTTGAATTTTAATTGTCTTTCAATGACTTTCGGTAGATTTTTCTGCGTTTCTGTGCCTTTTGGTAATTTGCTGTCTAAACACTAAAAGGCGCAAAAGGCAGGGTAAAAAATTCCGAAATGCCTCTTAACACACCAAAAATACACCGAAAAACACTAAGTAACACCGAAATCAATTCCAAAGGCATCAATAAAGAAGACTGAATGCCACAATAAGGCTAAAAAAGCTCACCGAAATGCAAGATAATGAGTAGAAAATTATTTACAGACAATGCTCTCCTGCTCCGAGTTTAATCGCAGCAGTGCAAACCACAGTGTGTTCCTCTCCCTGCGTGTATTCACGTAGTCGCCTGCCAACATTATGACGCGGTTCCGGGCGCATTGCGCCTACTCTCCCTAATAATCTGCGAGTAGCGGCAAATATCGGTATGCACGCACGTGACAGCAGCTAGCTACTGGTTTTGCGTGGCTCTACCGCGTGCAAGCACATAGTGGTGTGAGGGAGGATTATGTTGTAATACACGATAACATCTGCATGCTTACGTCATGCATCGATAAAATTAGACTGAAATCTGCATTCACATATCTAAATCTTATAAAGACTAATAACGCTTTAAGTCTGATGGTTAGACACCATGCATCTTCAATGATACCTCGATTGCCAGCTGACGTCACGCGCGTTCATATCAGGTAGCTGAAAACTGATGATATGCGGAGTTCTATCGCGACGATTGATATCTCACTAGACGATCTGCAGCCCGGATATCCGCGCGAAGCGCGCAAACGCCGCGCAGCGATGACAATAAATCTTATTCGCTGCCCTATATAGAAAAATTTCGCCAGTGCCCTTTGGGTACAGGATAAAGCCGTATAATCGGTCAATTGAGGAGTTCTGGCGATTCCACAAGCCTTTCGACTATGCACGTAGGTCCAGAATAAATTTGTAATGCTCGTAATTGCTCGTTTGCTGGTCGGCACGTTTGCTTTTCCTCTAGAAAAGCGAGTTTGCATTTCTTCCGTTTCACGCCCTGAATTTATTCTCGTACATATGGCGTCCCATAGATGGCACGACGAGGTCCTCTTCGATGGATTTTCAAGGTATTTTTCCACACAAGGATCGGCGATTCAGCTTAGACTGCTCCGCGGTGGAGAGTTCCACACGCTGCACTAACTATAGGTTTAGTGTAGCGAAAGATACTTGGCCGAGTTAAGGTCCGTACCAGTCTACCTGCAATCGTGACGTGCGATTCAAATTAGCGTAGCCATCTTAGTACACCCTACGTTGATTGGGTAAGCCCGTTGATTGATGTTTGTTTACACTGAGAATTTCTACTAGATGTTATCTGGAAACGCCCCGCCGGCGTGGAATAGCTACCAGATATGGGAGGTCAGACAGTTGCGCCCTCACGTACACGCGCCGGCGAGAGAGCGGCGCCAGCCGAACACGTGGCAGACAGGGGGGTGTAACGCTCAGGCATATACTGGACCAAGGGGGGTTGCATCACTGGAAGGCTAGCAGGCGATGGAGAAGGTAAGGGAAGGGGACGAGAGCGCCAGAGAGTAGGTAGGAGGTTAAGAAGACACGTGGGTGTTGATGGGTCAGGTCAGGAGGAGGAGAAGCACAGTGGTTAATGGCACTCGTATATTAAAATCCACAAGAATTATAGCCAAGAATTATTAGCCATTCTTGCAATAAACTTATACCAGTTTTTACTTATTCCAGTTTTACTTCTTAGTGTCCATAATCTATATACTTACATTAGTGCCCAGTGTTATTACTTATACCAGTATAAACTTTAAACTTATTGCCAGTTTTGACTGCATGAGACAGGCTGCAGATTACCAATGCTGGGCATCGGGTGAAAAACTAGTCGAACATTTGTTTGCTAGTGGACATCATATGGCGTCCTGCGGAGATCAACGATCCAGGCACCACCTCCCTCGTCGCGCGTTTCAGTGAAAACATCGTGTTGTGTTTTGCAGATGGTGGAGGCGGCCTCGCGCGACTGGGTGTTCCTGCACTGTCTGCCGAGAAAGCCGGAGGAGGTGAGCGATTACGTTTTCCACCACGAGAGGTCGCTAGTGTGGCAGGAGGCCGAGAATCGCAGGTGGACTGTCATGGTGAGTGAACGATCGCGCTCGAGCTCGCGTATTTTTTTTTGCGCGGTTTAGGAAAAAGGTTTTATCGTCCGAAATGTCTGCAGCCTGGGGGGGGGGGTAATAAGATAATTAGAATGAATATTAATAATTTAAGAAAATTAAGAATATTTAAGAAATTAAGAATAATTGATTTAATTTAATAAATAAGAAGCATTGAAATCACAGAAATAAATAGTGTATAGAATACAAACAGGATTAAAACATTGTGAACCATTTTACAAAAAATCATATGCACAGTGTTTGTATGCTATGCTGTGACTTGGCCTCCTTTGTTCTTTTACTGCGTTTTGCTGGAGGAACAATGATTGATTTGACCCCGCCTTGCTAATTCTGCATTCTTCTATCTGCCCATATTTCGCGTAATTGTTGCACTGGAGTTATATATTTTATATTTTTTAGTTATTATATATTTATACATATATAATAAGACTTGATTATTCATATATTTAATCATATATGGAAGGAGTGAGACAGTAACAAACGTTTACGATATTATTCCTGTAAATATACACATGTAAATATGCCAATGCTGTTTCCAATTTCTGCCACCAGGCTGTGCTGCTGCACTTACTGCAGGACTACACACCGACTATACCGAAGCTGACGTTTTCCACGGACTCAGCTGAGATAGCGAGAGGGTGAAATCTCAAGTGCCGTCGACCCAACGAAACGAAATATCTCCACGAAAAAATTTCCCGTTTTCTTTACTCGATAGATTATGTGTGTGCTAGGTGGTGTGGTGGGAGGCCACGAACTTTGCAGGCCCTGCAACAGTACTCCCTTAACCAGCTTTTGTTCATCACGTTTAATTTTGAAACAATTGAAGATTAGAATGATCACAATGCACATGATCACAGTCGATGGCAAATTCTAAACAAATGTTAAACAACTGAATCTTGATTTTATGATCTAACAGGCATTTGCATTAAAAAATATTTTCAGATATTTGTTGGGGGGGTTTCTGCCTTCCTCCGTGCTTGAAAAGGACTTGGGTGTTATCGCTTTTAATTTAAATGATCAACCCGCGCATGAAACGTGCTTTGGATAACGACGAAAAGCAGTAATTCTTCTCTAAATATTCTCCATGGTGTCACATGACAGTCAATATAGATTAATCACAGAGATTTCAAGGGTGACGTGACACTTCATTTTATCGTACGAAATACTTTAATATCGAGACGAATCTAACATTGATTCGTCGGAGGGATAGGTAAATATGCATAAGGATTCATCTCGATATTATTTTATTAAATAATTAAAACGGTCGCGTGTATTGGTGCGTGGCGTGGGATGGTGTCAAGTGTTGATATTCTTGCAGGACCACCTGTAGGTGCGAGCTACGCAGCCAGGGGCGTGTACAGGTGGGGGAGGGGGTCCAGGGGGTCCGGACCCCCCCTGCTTGCACAGAAAACGCATCTAAGAGGGGCTAATTTCAAAAAAATTTCAAAAATTCCTAGACCCCCCCCCCCTTCGCGTCCTCGTAAGTTTGGGTTACGGTTAGACCCCCCCCCTGGTACAAATCCTGTACACGCCCCTGGCAGCTTGGGGGAGGGGCAGCGAATGCATTTATCGTATACATTCCTCTCTAGTGATATTATGCGGTGCTAGAACACATCTGTAAGCGCCGTGGAAAAAGCGTGTGCACATCGATCGGTAATTTGCCGTTTGCAGTTAAATGGAAGCGCTATCTTCTAAATTCGTGCGTAGATGGTACACAGTTCTATGGAGCACTAACACGCTCTCTACCGGTGACGGATTTATATATAGTAGGTGGTGTGTTCCATATCGCACACAGTCTATGCATTAGCGTCCCCTGTGTAGCCCTTCATTCCACAGGCACTTGGAGCGATTCAATAAAAAAAATAATGCTAAATATATATGACACTATATATATATATCTTTTATTTTTTTATTGAAACTCCAAGTGCCTGTGCTTCGTTTCGTCACATGCCGTTGCTAAGCCAACGACTACATAGGTGGCGCTACCAGCACATTGTCTATGAACTAATTTGAACATTCCTACTTAGCAAGGGTGTGATATATATCATATATATACGCTGAAGCGCAGATCTTTCGCGCAGTTCCGCGAGCATAGGCGCACGCGACCTCGCGGGAACGTCCCTACGACAGTATGGCAGGCGGCTGGCAGGCTATGGATCCGTGCGCGCGAATGAATTGGCGGGCGACGGATCCATACTGCCAGCGAATCAGTCCGCAATTTTTAGTGGGGACACAGAGGATATGACATTTGGGGACGTGAACAGTGTTCACTTGTTTATAAAAAACCTGTAAACCGCGTAATCTGTTCGTAACCGAGCTGTGTCACGAAATCACTAGAACGACTGTCGAAATTCTGACTTCGCGAACGCTTGCCCGCAGTAATGGAAACGGCTGTCAGAATCTAGGAAACAGCCTACCGGCCGCACACACATCACGGACGGGCGCGCACACACCCACGCACACACACATACACACGCTGTCATCAACGCACAACAATCCCGCTACACGTACCACACGACCACACACGCACATATCAAACAGACATCACACGCACGCGCACGACACACACCACACACACACACACAACACACACAACACACACATTATATATATATATATATGATATATATTACGTTCTCTTATCCGAGATGCAGGAAGAAGGAAGCGAAGAAGACGGATGTAACAACAAAACACTTCTGTATTTTAGAACCGCCATTTGTCCGAGAGCCCCCGATGTACAATGATTTATAATGTCTAGTTTACATGGCCGTATATAGATGGCGATCACTCGTTAAAGAAACACTGTACTGCAATACTTAAACCAAACTCAGTACATGACACCTCCTCCCCTTTTAGTTAGGAAACACCATTGATCAACCAGAAAATTATTTGAAAATACAAAATGTTCAAAACAAACACAATACTCGTTACAAAGAAATGTACCAATTACATGTATCAATGAACACCCTACACATACTGGTGTACTACTCTACAATACTAACACGCCCAATGTGCACTTCTTAACTGGTAAAACACATCAACTTGAAACCTTGAAAAGCCATAAAAATGGTAACTCTGGCTTTAGCCTGTAAACAACCCCACGATTACATGCTTAGAGATCAACAATCACACGCGTATACGATACGTGTAGATCTGCGCACGGTTGTACCACTGTCCTGACACAGCACTCTAGCAGTAGCGGAACTGCTCTGATTGTCAGTCTTGGTCGGGATCGTCTCAATCGTGTTGTCGTCTTCGGCCTGTCTCTAGTCCCCCTCGGTACACAAGATGGAGACGAAACAGTTGGAATGTCCATCGGAATGACTGGACTGGGAATGTCCACAGTGTGGAAGAAGTCTGAACACTCCCGCGGCGGTAGTTCCGTCTGACCTCCGCCACGGATTCCCTCAAATCTGGCTCAGACTCTGTCCTCACCCGGACCTGATGTGGTCAACATGACGGCGCACATCACGACCATCTGTCAGATGCACACACATAGAAACAGGCCCAGATTTCACTGTATCACTCCAGCTATCCAGCATGGACCAGAAACTGAAGTTTTTCACATAGCCCCTGATTCCCCCCTCAAATTGCCTGTCCCGGTGCTGCCTATCATGATATTGCTTCTGCTTGCAATATTTTCCTCCACATGACTTCGGCTATCTGGATGCATTAACTCCAGATGTGTACGCATTTGACGCCCCAACATCAACTCTGCTGGAGTTTTACCGGTGAAGCATGCGGTGTTGAACGGTATTTGAACAGGAACCGCGCAACCTTCGTTTCCACCGAACCAACTTCTGTTTACCGATTCCCTCTTTGACAGATTGCACGGTCCTTTCCGCAAGTCCGTTTGAAGCAGGATGCTTCGGCGCAACTTTGACATGCTTGATACCATTGCGACTCATGAATGTTTGAAACATCTCACTCACAAAGTTCGTACCATTGTCCGATACTACTGTCGTGGAAGACCGAATTGCCGCAAAGTGTGCCTCAGTTTCTCTACAGTCACTTCGCGTGTACATGAGTTCATGACATGAACGTCCACCCACTTGGAATATGCGTCCACAATAATCAGCAACATCTTGTTCTGGTATGGACCGGCATAATCTATATGCAATCTTGACCACGGTCTTGTGGGATATCCCACGGGTGAACATCGCTTTCGGCGGTGCATGCCTTCGGACTTGGCACGCTTCACAACTTTTCACCTTCACTCCAATTCTTGGTCCATTTTAGGCACACACACGTATTGCCGTGCGAACACTTTCATGCGCACCA